TAATCTCCCTCTATAAAGCGGTTTAGTATGTATGGAGTATTTATTCAAAAACCTCACATCATTGGCATTTTATGACATCGAAAACTGTGCCAGCACCAGGTCGGCTTTTCAGCTTGTCAGTTTTTTTTACTTATTTAGTGGAAACTGTAAATTCGCGCGTGGAATGTTAAATGTTAGTGCGGCAGTTATTTTTCTAAAATGCCCTCTCTTGATAGCAGTATTCCTCATCAATTCAAAATATGAAAAAGTTCAGTCATAATCATTGGCACCACTCAAAGGATATAGTCATTGGCAGTGTCAAGAATAGATTTTGGACAAAAGAAAGAAAGTATAGTGATTGACATATATGCCAATGATTATGTAGTCAAACAAAGTAAAGTATAGTCATTGGCACAATTAAAAAAAACGATGCTTCTATTTCACAACGATAAAATAACGTTTAATATGCTTTAATGACGTTATTTGATTAAAATAGACAGAAACTTGCATATAAACTTACCTAAAAATCACATTTTTGTCTCAAAATCTAGCCACATAACCTTAACTTTTTGTTAAATTTTAACGGCTTTGTCCGCACAGATTTTTAAAACAGCCGTAATAATTATATATCTTAGCTATATCTGTGTAGCTGTGATATAGAAAAAGGAAAACATTCTTAATATTCAGATTAAAATAGCAAAGTGCCAATCATTGTAGGAGTGCCAACATTAGTACTGTTTACCCTACTTATCTGATATACAAGATTATCAATAAAACAAATGTTATACAATAATATATATATGCAAATAAAGTCGTTTGGTTACATTTTCTATTAATTTTATTATTTGTGGTGTAAAATAATTTGTAATTAGTATAAAATGAAACTGACTGGAGTGAAGACGGCTCCGTGGCGCAGCGTCTTATCAATGAGTTGTTGCGCTGGGGGCCGCGGGTTCGAATCCCGCACGGAACAAGTATTTGTATGGCCTACAAATCATTGTTCCGGGTTTGGATGTTTGTCGTGCAATCTATGTTAAACTGCCTCCACGATACAGGAGAAAATCCTAGTGTGGAGGTAACGTAACTTCGTATTATTTTGCTTATATTACAATAATTATAAATAACTAGATGACCAGGCAGACGTTGTTCTGCCCTTTCCGACGACCATGTGTCCTAAAAAAATCATTAAATTCACAATAAAAAAAATTGAGGATCACTTATCAGGATAAAAACTATCCTATCTCTCAAGTTGGACCAAACTGCACACATTGTGAAACATTTCATTGAAATCAGTTTAGTAGTTTAGGAGTTCATCGCGGATAACCAACGTGACATGTAATTTTTATATATAAAGATTAGGTATATACACCGAGTCAAGTGATAAATGTCATTTTCCTTGAGGAAGATTATGTACTACGCCTGTTGTCATACAATGCAAACTAGTACGGAGGGTGGCACATTAACTTTTCTGTAGCTCTTCTATTCTGATTAAAAATATATTTCTAATAACCTAAACATATGGATTCATATTGGCTCACTACTGAAATATATAACGTATACTTTGACCTTATTACCTCACAGGGATGTGATAAGTTCAAAGTTTTTGCTTTATTAACGATGTTATTGGTTAGTTGTTGATAATTAAATAAATAAAAAATGTGCGTCAGATGTTCTAGAGCCGAACAGATTCAATATGAAAGGATTTACAATAAACGGAAATATTACGGCATTTTTAAGATGAGGTTTTTATGAAAGTGAAGAGAGCGACAGCAGTGTCACCAAGAATCTCAAACCGCTCTTCAAGGTAAGCAGGGAAAGTGTAATTGGATAGAATATCGTATAAAAGTTTTACGTGGTAGACCCGAGATGCAGCTGTGTTGTAGTTGTAGTACAAATGGGTCGGCTCGGCGGGAGTAGGACCACGCTCTCACACAATACCAGCATAAAATAGAAGCTCACTTCTCATGTGTTTCGTATGGCGTGTATAGAGAACCGAAGATTCTTGTTACTGGAAACGAGGCATTCCATCTTAATTCTCAGGGGTGACAACGCCTCTGCATTTTGATTCTGAATCGAGAATAAATGTAGATATATGTCTTTATTCTATATAAAAAAAGAAAGAATGTGAGTCCTTGAAAAATAAGAGGAGTGTGAATCCTGAAGTCCTGCGAAGACGAATCGGAAGCCACATGAGTTTTTTGCGAAATTCGGAAACATGGTCATATATTCAGAGTCCAAATATATTATAAAGTGAAGTCGGGGTCAGGAAGTTGGCGGTGTTTTACCTCCGTGCCTCAGAAATCACATAAAACTTTTTGTACTGTGCCTTGTCTCCCCATCGGACTACGAGAGTGAGGAAATAAAAAGTGCATATATGTTTCCGTATGCACTCGTGTACTATAATCTTGTACTGCACAGATGGTTGGTCTCCTTTCAGCCTGTAGTGTCGTGTAGTGAATAAAAGTAGTCTAAGTAAAGTCATAGAAGAAGCAACACGTCTCTCATTAATACCTTTCCAATATTACATGGCGACCCTACCAGGCGATGCGCTGCGTTAATGCAAGCCCACCGCCGAGGTCTGCATGTATAAAAAGATTTGAAAATCTAAGTAAATAATAAATCACACAAAATAAATAAAATCTTGGAGTGGACCTAGATATGACAAAAAATCAGCGAAGCGAATAACGAACTTGCGAAGAGGCCACAATATTACTTATTTTAAGGAAGATAAAACACGTGCTTATGTCTATGTACCTATATCCTTTTTTTAAATAAAATTGCCGTTAGATACATAGTAATAATTTTAAATTTAAATTTATGTAATTGTTTTAATCTAAAACGAAGAAGCATAATGTAATTATAAAGCAATAGTATAAATTAAAGTACTGCTGCCAATATATGCCAATATACCCCCATGATTAAAGTAACGAAGAGACGGCCCCCAGTCCCCGGCGGCCCCGCTATTCCTGGCTAATGTGGCGACCATGGTAACGGCGGAGCAGGGGGTACTAAGAATTTCCGGTGGAGGTTGGGATGCCACCTAAGACGACTCGACCTGGCAACATATAATATACGCACCTATAGGACTGACGAGAAGATCCTGGAGCTGGAAGAAGAGATAGATAAGTTGCGCTGGAATATTATAGGATTATCCGAAGTCCGAAGAGAGGAGGAGGACACGGTAATTCTCGAATCCTTTTTTTATCACCTGGCGGGCGACAATCTGTACCAAGTAGTAGTGTCGGATTTGTCGTCCACAAGTCTCTCGTTAACAACGTTGTAGATTGGGAGTGTGCCGACGACGGTTGCGTACCTTATACTCAGAATCACCAAACGGTATTCGCTGAAGGTCATGTCCTGATGAGGAGGTGGAAGATATGTATATCTCTAGAGATATACTCATACATTCAAAAAATGAGATTGACTTCAATATGACGACCAGACGACAATTATTCAATGATGTCTCAGTGATCATGAGGGTGAAAATTGGTAGCAATCACCGAATGGTTAGAGGCACACTGAACCTAAACGTTAAGTTGGAGAGGTGTCGTCTAATGAAATCAACGCTCCGTCCCCCTCGTGCTCTAATCCCCGTCCCAAGTCCCGAAACCTTTCAGCTCGGGCTACAAAACCGTTTCTAGTGCCTAGAAGATTGCAATGCAATGGACGATATGAATGAGCAGCTTGTGAAAACTGTCCGTGCGGTCGGAGCTAAATTCTGCAAGACCCACCGCAGAAGAACACAAAAACTCTCCGATCACACTCACAGCGATAAGATTAATTATCGCTGTTAAACCGAAAATGATGCTACAGTCTACAGACATATCACCAAATGCATGCGGCGGGACTAACGCAACTTCAATACAGCTTGTATTGAAGAAACGATCGAGCGGAACCAGGGCTCCAAAATCTTCGCCAGAGATATGTCTGCCAGAAACAGCCAACTGTCAAAGCTGAAGACCGAGTGTGGCAGCATCGTTTCCAGGACACCTGAGATTTTGAGTGAGATTGAGAGGTTCTATGGGGAGCTGTACACAACATAGTTGGAGCCACATGCAAGTGTGAGTAACGATCCAAGAGCAAGTCTTTTCCGACATTATTCCGAAGATATCCCGGACGTCAGTCTGAGCGAGACTAAAATGGCTCTCCAGCATCTTAAAAACGGCAAGGCCCCAGGCGAGGATGGAATTACAGCGGAGCTTCTAAAAGCAGGTGGAAAACCAGTACTTGAAGTCCTTCAGAAGCTCTTTAATTCCGTCCTCCATGGTGACACTATACTGGAGGCATGGAGAAGACTATCGGTACATCGAAGTGCTGAAGTTTTTGTACAGCAGAGCTAAGATAGCTATCCGAGTACAAAACCTATTCAACTGCAGAGAGGTGTAAGACAGGGTGACGTTATCCCCGAAACTCTTCACCGCTGCATTGGAAGACATTTTCAAGCTAATGGACTGGAAGACTGGGTTCACATGGCATTATCCTGCACGTTTTCTTTCAGTTTCGTTCAGTTTTCACAGTGAAGTAGACGTCTGTGTTGGATCCACGCTTGGTTGTACTTTTATATTGATATAATCGAAGGCGCCAACGGTTTCGTCGCCGACAGAGCACAAGGTTTTGGGTACATCCTATTAATTAAGAATCAGGGCGTACTAAACTATTTGAGAAGTTATATGATAAACTTAGAAACGATGAAAAGAAGTTTTTTAATTAATTTCGGATGTCTATTGAAAGTTTTGAAAATTTATTAAATCAACTGGAAAATTCAAGCCTAACAAAAACAAATACTATCAGTACTAAAATGAAATTAGCTGTGTGTATAAGGTTAGTACATACATACATACATATAATCACGCCTCTTTCCCGTAGGGGTAGGCAGAGACCAGTTCTTTCCACTTGCTACGATCCTTACATACATAAGGTTAGTACACAAATAAAAATATACAGGGTGAAATTATTAGTTTTATTAATGTAATTAATAAAATAAGTTTTATTTGGCTAGTATAATGTCTTCGTATTTCGTATTAAAAGTCGTTATAATCAATTTTTGTGTAGTTAGAATAGGAGTAATCGACAGAGGCCGGACTTTGAAGAGAATCTATTGTAGGGATAGAATTTGTAGTTTGTGGTATATTATTATTTTGGTATTCCTGGGTAAAATATCCTCCTCTCTACTACTCTACTCACGACGGCGACAGCTTTTAATATTTTTCAATAATTGTAGCACTCCCATTTGGAATTCGAGGACTTCATCATCGTCAAACTTGTCTAATGATGGTATTATCCCATTAAAAAATGAAAGATGCCGATTCATAATTTTAGGTTCATTATTTGAATAAGAATCCATTAATTTCATCATCTTCGCATCTAAAGGACTAACTGCATTCTTTATAGGTCTTTTAGGTATACTTTTAGGTATTGGGCTCAATGTCGCCATATTATCTTGTGTCTGTACAGAGTTTGCTTCCAATGTTTCGTTTCCTTCAGAATTATTTTTCTGTTTTTCGGATTTTGCGTTGTTATTTTCAGTAATAACATTGCTTATTGTCTCTTTAGGTTGAATTACTTTTTACAGAAAGGATAACTGTTCACTATAAACATAAGGTATTGTTGTTTTGGCGCCATTTCTTGACCTTTTCTGATCTTGTATCTTTTCATATGATCGATTATAATTATCTCTTATATGAGTCCACCTCTGAATAATTTTCGCTGTAAAAGACAAACATAGTAAGTTATACTGAATACTGCAGGGAGAGTACAAAGTGCCAAAACGTTTGTGACTTGAAGTTTCGATAATATAAAGTACGCACCTAGAGGGTGATTTGTGTATTTAATAAGAATAGGTACTTGTCAAAATAACTTACCGATGCATACATACGACTCACGACATGATAAAAATCAACTTATGCCTATATTATTTTATCATGTCTTGTCGCAATCGCTTTGGCTCTCTGTGCTCATCCTGCTGAATATTTAACGTAATATATATTAAGGTTTTTTTTCAGGTATTTAGCATCAGGTTGTTCCATGAAAGATTAACACTATGCGTATAAAGTTGGAGTAATGACTATAAGTGGGATCATCTGGGATGTTTGCTGGACGCTGTGGGATGTTCTTCAGGGAGAATATCTTCAAACGCCTTGTTCAGAAAATGAATGGATGAAAATAGTGAAAGGTTTTGAAAGAAAGACTAATTTCCCTCATTGTCTAGGTGCCATTGACGGGAAACATAAAAATCTTAAAGCCTGCTCATAGTGGATCCATGTACTTCAATTATAAAGATTACTTTTCCATTATACTAATTGCAGTGGCCGTGTAGTGGCGGTCAAGAATTCCACTAGCCCATATCTTCCCGTGGGTGTCGTAAAATGCGACAAAGGGAAACAAGCAGGAGATAGGCAGCAGCATCTTCCTGATAATAACAAAATTATAATAAAAAAACTGCGGTTGCCATCCCGCTCGCCAAGCGTGGCAACTGTGGCAAATACTATATAGTGAGTGAAGTTACGAAGAGACGGCCCCCAGTCCCCGACGGCCCTGCTTTTCCTGGCTACGGTGGCGACCATGGTAACGGCGGGGCAGGGGGTGCTAAGAATCTCCGGTGGAGGTTCGGTTGCCACCTAAGACGACTCGACCTGGCAACATACAACGCACGCACCCTGAGGACTGACGAGAAAATCGTGGAGCTGGAAGAAGAGATAGACAAGTTACGCTGGCATATTATAGGATTATCCGTGGTCCGAAGAGAGGGGGAGGACACGGTAATCCTCGAATCCGGCAACTTGCTCTATCACCGTCTGTCCCAAGGAGGTGTCGGATTTATCGTCCACAAGTCTCTCGTTAACAACGCTGTAAAGATTGAGAGTGTGTCGACGACAATTGCGTACCTTATACTCAGAATCACCAAACGGTATTCGCTGAAGGTCATACAGGTTTACGCACCAACCTCGGCACATCTCGATGAGGAGGTGGAGGAAATGTATGAGGATATCTCTAGAGCCATGCATTCCTCCAAAACCCATATACGGTATTAATGGGAGACTTCAACGCAAAACTAGGCACAAGAGAGAACGGTGAGCTGAAAGTAGGGAAATTTGGAATAGAGCAACGGAACCCAAGGGGCCAGCAGCTGGCCGACTTCACGAAGAAAGAGGAACTCTTTATGGTGAACTTTTTCTTCCAGAAGCGGCCCCACAGGAAGTGGACCTGGTCGAGCCCCGACGGTTCGACAATAAATGAGATTGACTTCATTATGACGACCAGACGACAACTGTTCGGTGACGTGTCCGTGATCGCGAGGGTGAAAACTGGTAGCGATCACCGAATGGTTAGAAGAGCTCTCGTCTAATGAAGTCAACGCTCCATCCCCCTCGTGCTCTGTTCCAAAGTCCCGAAACCTTTCAGCTCGAGTTAAAAAACCGTTTCCAGTGCCTAGAAGACTGCAGTGAAGTGGACGATATGAATGACAAGCTCGTGGAAACTGTCCATGCGGTCGGAGCTAAGTTCTGCAAGACCGGCCGCAGAAGAACACAAAAACTCTCCGATCACACTCTTAATCTCATGGTTGCTAGACGGGAGATGAAACTAAATTCTTCAACAGATTTGACAGCATACAGGCTACTGAACAGACAGATCTCCAAATACATGCGGCGGGACTTACGCAACTTCAATACAGCTCCTATTGAAGAAGCGATCGAGCGAAACCAAGGCTCCAAAGTCTTTGCCAGAGATCTGTCTGCCACAAAGAGCCAACTGTCAAAGCTGAGGACCAAGTGTGGCAGCATCGTTTCCGGGGCACCTGAGATTTTGAGTGAGATTGAGAGGTTCTATGGGCAGCTGTACACGTCATCGTTGGAGCCACACGCAAGTGTAACAATCCAAGAGCGAGTCTTATCCGACACTATTCCGAAGATATCCCGGACATCAGTCTGAGCGAGATTAGAATGGCTCTCCAGCACCTTAAAAACGGACAGGCCCCAGGCGAGGATAGAATTACAGTACAGCTTCTGAAAGCGGGTGGAAAACCGGTACTTGAAGTCCTTCAGAAGCTCTTTAATTCCGTCCTACATGGTGGCATTACACCAGAGGCGTGGGGCAGAAGTGCGGTGCTCTTGTTCTTCAAGAAAGGTGACAACGCTCTCTTGAAGAACTACAGACCGATTTCCCTTCTGAGCCGCGTCTACGTGCTGTTTTCGAGAGTCATTACGAATCGTCTCGCGCGCAGACTTGACGACTTCCAGCCTCCCGAACAAGCCGGTTTCCGAAAAGGCTTTAGCACCATAGACCACATACATACCCTTCGGCAAATTGTACAGAAGTCCGAGGAGTACAATTTGCCACTATGTCTGGCGTATGTGGACTATGAAAATGCCTTCGATTCTGTCGAAATTTGGGCGGTGCTGCAGTCCCTTCAGCGGTGCCAAGTTGACTTTCGGTATATCGAAGTGCTTGTACAGTTGGCCTACGATAGCTATCCGAGTACAGAACTAGAGTACGAAACCTATCCAATTGCAGAGACGTGTAAGACAGGGTGACGTCATATTGGAAGACGTTTTCAAGCTTCTGGACTGGAAAGGATACGGTATTAACATCAATGGCGAGTACATCACTCACCTTCGATTTGCCGACGATATAGTCCTTATGGCAGAATCGCTGGAGGACCTAAGCAACATGCTTAATGACCTCAATAGTGTCTCCCAACGGATAGGTCTTAAAATGGACATGGACAAAACAAAGATCATGTTTATGTCCATGTCACACCTATGCCGGTAGTTGTTGGGAGCACTAAACACGAAGTTGTTGACGAGTATGTTTACCTGGGACAAGTAGTCCGACTAGGTAAGTCCAACTTCGACCGAGAGGTCAATCGACGGATTCAACTCGGCTGGGCAGCGTTCGGGAAACTACGACACATTTTCCCGTCAGACATACCTCAAAACCTTAAAACGAAATTGTACAACCAGTGCGTGTTGCCAGTGATGACTTACGGATCTGAGACGTGGCCCTTCACTACTGGCCGTATGAGGAAGCTCAAGTTCGCTCAGCGAGCTGTGGAGAGGGCTATGCTCGGGGTTTCTCTGCGTGATAATCTTAGAAATGAGGATATCCGCAGTAGAACCAGAGTAACTGACATAGCCCAACGGATTAGTAAGCTGAAGTGGCAGTGGGCCGGCCATATAGCTCGAATAACCGACAACCGATGGGGAAGAAAGGTTCTTGAGTGGCAGCCTCGTACCGGTAGGCGAAGTGTAGGGCGACCCACCACGAGATGGAGTAACGACCTGGTAAAAGATGCAGGAAGTCGATGGATGCAGGTGGCTCAGGACCGTGCTTTGTGGCATTCCTTGGGGGAAGCCTATGTTCAGTAGTGGATTTGTGAAGGGCTGTAATGAGGATGATGATGATGACTTGCAATGGTTGATTCTGAATACAGATTTATATATGTCAACATAGGATCATACGGTAAAGAGTGTGATTCAACCATTTTGAAAAACTCCGTCTTATGGAAAAAAATTAATGATGGTTTGCTGCATATACCCAAATCAAGACCATCATTAGAAGGTGGAGACAGTATGCCTTATGTATTTAATGGTGATGAGAGATTTGCTCTACATAATAAGTTACTACGTCCTTTTGGAGGAACACATTTAGATTTACGTAAAAAAATCTTTAATTACCGTCTGAGCAGAGCAAGAAAATACGAGTACGTGGAGTTTGCTTTTGGTATCATAGCAGGAAAATGGAGAATCCTACATAATGCTATTGATGTTTGGCCAAGTCTTAATGATAGCAATCGTAAAAGCATGCATCGTGTTACACAACTACGTGCGTGAACATGATGGACACAATTTTGAAATCCTCTGTTATTTAAAAATCTTTAAAGTATGTCAATTCGAAACGTTCAATCGAACAGCTTACGCTGTATATTTTATATCTACGTTTAGTCACTATTTTTTATCAAACGAAGGATCTGTCCCATGGCAAAACGAATATATTTAGAACTAAGTAAAACATAAATAGAGTTAAGTAAAACATGTTGTAAAACAATTATATTGTTAATAATAAAAGATACATACCGAAGGCTTGTCTTGTTTTTTCTTCCTTTTGCTCGAAATTTAGATCAATTACTATCATGATTTCATCAGCTTGAGTTGCGACGCGATTTTTATAAAGTTCCATAGTTTTATCCTTTTTTAGGCTTTTGTTCCACTAAAGAAATTAATAATTCGTTATCTATAGAAGATTCTTCAACCATTTTGAAACAACAAACACATTTGTGTTTGTTGTTTCAAAATGGCGCGCAAAACGCGCGACCTCTCCAAAAGACGCCAAGAGACTAAGTGCTTGTTAAGTTGCTATTCGATGAAAAACGTATAAACATCGTGTCGTGTGAACGAGACAGAGCTATACTATGTGCCACTGCAAGCCGAATACGTTAAAGTTCATTCGATTTGCTTGACAAGTCCGTTGAGTATTCGTTAAAACGCATAAACGGTGTACGATTTTTTGCAGTACAAACGACATGTGAATGGTTTTATGTACAATGTATGTGCCACTATTTATTCGTAGACGAAGACGTATACTGCAAAAAAACGTGCAGGACAATGCCTTGCAGATAAGATAAGACGCAAACTATTCCAAAGCAATAGGACCAAAATTCAGATGAGACAGTGTGGAAAGGAGGATTTCGTGATCAACTGTGTTGAAAGCATTTGAGAAATCAACTAGTACCAGTACTGTTACGTTGGGTTCCGTTGCCCTATTCCGAATTTACCTACTTTCCGCTCACCGTTATCTCTTGTGCCTAGTTTTGCTATGAAGTTTCCCATTAGTATAGTGGGTTTTGGAGGAATGTATGACTCCAGAGATATCCTCACACATTTCCTCCACTTCCTCATCGGGATGTGCCGAGGTTGGTGCGTAAGCCTGTATGGCCTTTAGCGAATACCGTTTGGTGATTTTGAGTATAAGATACGCAACCCTCGTCGACACACTCCCAATCTTTACAACGTTGTTAACGAGACACTTGTGGACGACAAATCCGACACCTCCTTTGGACAGATGGTCCCCTTCCCGGTGATAGAACAAGTTGCAGGATTCGAGGATTACCGTGTCCTCCCCCTCTAGGATCTTCGCGTCAGTCTGCAGGGTGCGTGCGTTATAAGTTGCCAGGTCGATTCGCCGTAGGTGTAGCCGTCAACCAAACCTCCACCGGAGATTCTTAGCACCCCCTGCCCCGCCGTTACTATGGACGCCACCGTAGCCAGGAATAGCGGAGCCGCCGTGAACTGGGGGCCACTTATTAGTGTCATTCCTCATGGGGGGTGGGGTATATATTGCCATAGTTGCCACGCTTGGCAACCGCAGTTTTTTATTGCTTTTTACTGTTGTCAGAAAGATCGGGCGGGTAAGAATTATTATATTTTATTTTTTTATTATATATTATATTTATAATTTATTTAACTTTAATCAGTTTTTTTTATAACCTTCACTTTATTGAAACCGAACAAATAGTTTTAATAGTTAGTTTAAATAGATAGTTTTTAACATGGAGAATATGCCTTGGTAGGCTTGTCTACTTATTTCTATTCATGGCTACCTGGCAAGCAGGTATGAAAAGGTAGTCAATATAGGTAACTACGCCGAAATGTTAATCAATAAAAATTGCTCTGAGAAGCTTGCCTGAAAAAAGCCGTTCATGGAATATTGTTACCATGCTTTAGGGCGCGTTCCGACAACACGCACCCTCTACGCGCCCGCCACGCGTGTCAACACCCGCGTCTAACTCGCTTTGAAGTTTGTTGCATATAATTTGAGTCTTATGACAAATCAATAAATCTGAAATTGTATAAAAAGCGCGGGCGTAGGGCGTAGCGGGGCGGGTGCAGAGCGTGTGCAGAGCGTGTGCGGGGCGAGCGCTGAGAAACCGCGGGGCAAGGGCGGGGCCATTCATTTGTCCATGATCATTGAAATGTTTAAACTAAATTTGAGGTTATTTGTAACGCGTGTGGTCGGCTGGGGTCAGAAAAACAAGTGCAACTTTAGGGATTGAAAATAAAATACGAACCGGTAAGTAAAACTTATAATTAAAATATGACTATATTATGCTATATACCCTCTAAAATGTGAAACTAGGTTATTTATTTCAATGCGTAGCTTTTTTCGCATTCTTATTTGTCTTTTTTTGAATCTGCCATATTTGGCTTCCTATGCGTTACTGTAAAAAATACTGCTGTCATATTTGGCTTTCTATGCGTTCAAGATTATTGATTGCTTATTTCAGAAAGCCGTCCTTTGCGCTTTTATGGAAGATCCAATCATGTTAATATTATTCCTGGTGATAGCAACTTCAGTGATGATAATATTAATTTCTTCTAATAATAACTATTATTTTGAACCAAACTCTATTCGCCAATCTCAAAATAGACATAATTTGTTATTCCTGACTTGGAATCTGATTTCTGTTCCTGTATATAGTTTGCTACATCTACATCTTAAAAGGAAAAGTGCTAAAGGCTGTCTGAAAGAGCGAGTAATTTCGCGAAAGCAAGCTAAAAAACTAAACACACCAGCAGAGTTCTTTCATTTGTTATTCATATCTGAAATTACGGATTTTATTACTGAGCAATCATTTAATCTAAAGTCTATTCGGGATAATATAAACAAACCTGCAGTGATCACCAGAGAAGAAATGGAAAAGTTTATTGCCGTCGTGATCTTCAGACATATGTGCATCTATTTGATTTCAAACTTGCAGTTTCCGAACAGTTGCGTAAAGTGGACAAAGCTCCAATACAAAAAAACGTGTTCATCCATCTAGTATTCTTGCAACACCGAAATCAAGCCGGGGTGGCACTCTTATCGATTTGCCTGATTCTCCAGTATCTACAATAAGCCTAGAAAGATATCTACCAGATATCAAGAGCTTCCTTTAAAATCAGTACGTCGTGATAGAATTAGTAATTTTCCCATTTGGGAGAAAAATACCCGATAGATATGCCAGTATTATTAAAAATAACTTTCTTTAACTAAATGTGAAAACTTTTAATCTTTATTTATGTAATAACGACAATCGCAATTGTTTTAAGGAGTTTCACCAAATATAATTCATATTTTTCTTAAACACATACGAAACCAAAAATGGATTCACATTAGATGACTAGACTGCATACGAAGTCATATATGGCTTCGAATAATAACTTCTAATATAAAGGTTAATTATTTTTCTATTTCAATTTGATCTCATCTAATTAAACATTATTTCGTAAAAAATGATTTTCATTCCATCTCTTTAATAATTCATGCGGTAAGGGGTTTATTAAAATAGCAATAAGCACATATTTAATTCTTCCGATTATAAAACTTTAAAGCATGGCAATAATATTCCATGAACGATTTTTTGAAGGCAAGCGTACGATTATTTTCGTAATTAAATTATCTTTCTTCTGATACCAATTTTTACTGATTAACATATCGGTGTAGTTACCTATATTGACTTACCTGTTCATATCTGCTTGCCAGGTAGCCTTGAACAGAAATAAGTAGGCAAGCCTACCAAGGCATGTTCTCGATGTAAAAAATTATCTGTTTAAACTAAACTTGTTCGGTTATCAAAAGAGTGAAGTGTTTATGAAAAAAGTTGATTAAAATTAACTTAATTAAAAATAGCCATGAACACTTTTTGAAAGGCAAGCTATCATAGGCGTGTTTATTAATCAGTAAAATTTCATTAAAAAAAGGTCTTATCTGGTTGTCAGATGGGTGAAAGTCGAATCCCCACGGCCTCTTCTACTATTACGAATTAATTCCAAAAGTATCGTTATTGGCACGCCCTATCGTCCCACATGGCTTAATGTTGATATATTTCTTGACGCTATAACTAACAGTCTTAGCACTTTTTCATATGATTATGTTATGTAATTAGGAGATTTTAACATTAACCTACTCATTACGGAGGACAATAATACTAAACGTTTTTATAATTTACAAGCCATGTGAATATCGTACAATCAATAGATGCGCCAACTCATTTTACAGAAACAAGTCAAACTCTCATAAATGTTATGTGTACCGACGTACCTACGCGAAATGTGGCTATTAACCATATCAACAAACAAGTCTTAAGTAGTCACGCCTAACTCTCCTGTGTGATGCATATAAAAAAAAGATAAAATACTCCACACGATCTGTAGCATATCTCTAAATTATATTCTGCTTGAATATTTAGAACATGAAAGCTCAGCTCATCCCACGGAAAAAAATTCAGTGTAGAGATAGCGTAAATGAAATGACAGAAACGTTTAACTTTTACATTATACAATTATTTGACTTGAATGCTCCAACCATAAAGCTTATTATAAGGAAATGAAGCATCAAGTGAACATCGCGTTATATTACGAGAATAAAGTTATTCCAATTATTGGCAACCCAAAGAAACTGTGACCAAATCTGAAGGAATTCTCTTTACCGTCAAAAATAATGCAGAGTTACCTTCAAAATTAATGCTACCTAACTTAATTAATGCTCATTTTCTTAACACTTCAGGGCCTATTAACGTGACCATATCGGAACTTAGGTATTTCGAATTTAATATATTCAGCTCTGAGATTTTTTTACTTAAAACGGTTTCGTCAGATTATATTCCAAAAATAATTAAAACACTTGAAACTGACGTACAAAGAGTAGAAGATATTAAATTTAATATGTTATTGATGACACTCCCACAAAGTTTAAATGATATAACTGCACTTATAAACCATTCAATTAGTACATAACAATATATTCCCTGAAATCTGTAAGAGAGCCATAATACGTCCCATACCTATGAAAGGAAATCCTAATGATTACAAAGATTTAAGAGCAATAAGCTTATTGCCATGCTTATCAAAATTCTTGACAAAGTGCAAAGTGATCACTGAACTGCAACTGCGCTTTCTCATGTTGTGAGCAATATAATGGAGGCTCAAGATATAGGTCAAGGAACTATGCTCGTCCAATTGGACTATTCTAGGGCATTTGATACAATCAATTCGACATTACTTTTATCTGAAATGGCATTTTATGGTTTTTATCCCATGACAAATAAAATGGTTCAGCAGTTATCTCAGTGGGCGGTCACAACAAATAATATTAAAAAAAATGTCCAAAACTATAAATCATCTCCTCAGCAGATTACAAGA